CATGTATATGCATAATCATGAAAAATTGAGCATCAAATCACTCATGCATGCATAGTTTTGTTGAGCTTCATGATTATAAGCATCATTTGTTCCATTTGAAATGGAGTGAGAGTCAATGAGTTACATGCATGCATAATCCATGGAGGTATGTAGCTTGGTTGCATGTGTTTTGAAGTTGTCAAGGAGAAAATGAAGTAATTTGAGAATTTGATCATGGTTTTGGGACAATTGGCTTCAAACTATCTAAGTTTTCATGCTATGTAATGTTTTTCCATGGTTTGGTACCAAATTGCAAGTTTTGGACCTTTGGGAGTGTGTTTTGAACTTCAAACAGAGTTCTGAAAATTCCAGAATTCGTCATGTCCACTTGAGCGTGAAAAGTACCGCTCGAGCGTAAAAAATTGAGCTCCTAGAAGTTTGCAAAATTTTATAGACCGCTCGAGCGACAAAAGTGGCGCTCGAGCGAGCACCCTTTTTACTCAGTATTCCGCTAGAGCGACCATCGAGCGGAAAATTCATGCAACCAGAAGTTTTACAGAGTTTTACAGACCACTCGAGTGGCCAAAGATGAGCTCAAGTGGAGAGCCCTGTTTCAGAAATTTTGAAAAGTTGTTTTATGATTCGTTTTCCATTCTCTTTCATCTCTAAGCACTCTTAGGCATGCATTGAACATCCTAAATGAATTAAAGGACAGGAAAGAAGCCAAAGAATGTTAAGCAAATTAAAGAACGGATTGAATTATATTATGACCCAATGTGTTATAAATTATGTAGGGTCAAGTGCAAGGGGGAATCAAGCACCAGAACATTGTGAGTAATATCGTAGTAAATATATTTTTGTGTATGTATCATTTTCTAAATGTTACCTTTGTGGTAAGTTTCTAAAGTTCCAATTTGAAACTGTGAATGAGAATTCTATCCGCTTGATTCGTGATGAAATATATGGAGCAATAAATATATGACTAAGAAAGGGCCTATGGCCGTTCGGTTCACTTAAAAATGGCATAAAATGGGCCTAAGGCCGTTATGTATGATTGTTAAATGGGCCCAAGGCTGTTATGTACAATTGTTAAATGGGTCAAAAGCCGCACAGGAATGTTTGGACCTAAGGTCGTTTTGAATGCGAGAATGAATGAGAACAAGATCATGAATCATGAATGCACACAAGTGCGAATAAGGAAAGGAATGGACCTAAGGTCGTTTAGAATACAAGGATGAATGAGAACATGACCATGGGTCATGAGTACGCATAAATGCGAATACGAAATGGATTAGTTGGACCTAAGGTCGTTTTGCCTATGAAATGGACCAAGAGTCGTTTGCAAATACAGATTGGACCGGAGGTCGTTTGGTACATGAGTATTTGTATGTTATGTTGGACCCAAGGTCGTTTCAAGTTGATATTGATCAATAAGTCTAGTTTATCACTGACTGTTAAATGAATCTCATTCATGAACTCCTTTACTTTGGTATTATTCACTAGGCATTAGCTCATTCCTTATTTATATGTATGTAAGTGAGCAGCGGGATGTCCAGCCCCAACCCCAGTGAGCAATGAGAAACCGAGTTTTGAGGGATTCACCAAGGTCTCTTCACGCAAGAGGCTTCAGTTTTGTTTTGTTTTTCCTTTGTACTTTTGTGGTCACGTATGACCACACCTGTATAAGACCTTGCTTTTGTTAATACTGACTTTGAATAATCCTAGATGTAAGTATTACATACTTAAAATGAATGTTCATATGGTATGAGTTATTATATGAATATGAGAATGTTTTGATTTAGACATGTATGCACAACTCATTAGACAATCTTTGAAAAAAATAGCTTCCGCAATTTGGTCGCCTATTATTACATATGAATTGATTTTTGACTGAGGTCGTAGGTAATATCATGATTACTGGCCGGTTATAACCTTAATCTATAGGGGCGGGTTTGGGCCATGACACACGTGCTTACGCACGTGGGGGTCGCATTATTGTTGATAGAAATAATACAGCTAGGCAAGGATACAATGTTTTTTTGAGAAAATCTCCAACACAAAATACACAAATATTTCTTATTTTATATTTCATCAATCATAACCACACCTTACATTTCATGAAACTGTCGACCAAAAGATAAATGGGCCCATTGTTGTCTTGAAATAAAACTTTGTGGGTTAGCCGATTGAAAGGATTGCTTTATGTCGTCACTCTTTTTCTTCTCACTTTTTCTTGGCTACTTTTTTATTTTTATTTTTTTGTTGTTGATGGGTGTGGGGAATTTTGGCTTATGTAATTCTAAACTGATTTTGGTGGATTTAAATGTGGTCCTACAATAAAGAAGAATATATGCTAAAGTGGACAAACCTAAACAAGGATTGGATTAGTATTTCTTTATTTTTTTATCATTTTAAGTTTGTATCTATGCTCATGGGATGAGATATGGCAAGACAATTGAAGTTTTGGTTCAAAAGCATTGGAGATTTCAATAGAAGCTTTTGAATGTTTAAAGGATTTGTTTAGAATTGTTCGTGGATTTGGAAAACCTCTGCTAGAGCAGGTTGGCAAGGACAATTAGATTGACGATCACTTATTCAATATGAAATTCAAATTTCATTATGGAAAAGATGTTTTGAAGAACCGTCACAAAACAATAAGAAATCTCTACAAGGCTATAAAAAATCTTATTGACCAGAAAGGGTGCTAGTATGAAACTCAACCAAATCGTGACAACTGATAATAAAGTTTGGGATGATTATATCAAGGTGAAGTTTTTAAGATTTCTTATTCCCATTATTTAATGGACAGTCCATGTAGGCTACCGACACTACATTTTGGTGCATCATCATTCAAATTATCTCTTTCTTCAATACCGGTGAATTAGGAGAAGGAATGCACTAATAAATAAAATCCTCTAATGAACAACAAGAGTTTGGTTCGCACAATTGACATTTTGGCTACGACAAATCACAACAAACATAACAGGATCTTTAACCGGAAAAGATTAAAGTGTAAGATTTGATGTACGCAATTGCTGTTTGATTTAATGCCTCCCCTAAATTTTCTAATGTGTTAAAACTCTTGAGGTTCATTCTTCAAAAATTTTTGTTTTGATTGTGAGTAGGTAGTTGTTTGGCGTTTTTGCAATGATTTTTAAAAAAATATATTTTTCTAATTCGATCGTGATAGAGTTTTTATCTTTTTCTGATTTCTTTTTTCTTTGTTTTTATGCCTTAGTTTGATATGATCCGAGCTATTTGGGTCCTTTTTGATTTGTTTTGGCTTTAATTTTGTCCAGTTGTTTGCTGGAAAAAGGTAAGAAAGACAAATAAATTGATAAATTTTGTAGTTTTGTCCATGAAAAAATCCACTAAGAAGAGCTTAATTCTACTGTATGACTTGGGTTCTATAGTTTCTTTATTTTCTAGAAACCAAAATGTTGTAAAATGTAAGATTCATAACGCCCAGTTTCTTCTTCTGTCTTTGCCTTTTCTCAGCAACCAGACATAGGATGGAAAATTTCAATAAGGAATCTTTTGATGTGTATAGTTACAGTCACTTAACATGAACTAATTCCTTTAACTCAAATACTAATTGGTTCTTCTCTTAACCTTGGTGGGTTCAAATTCATTTCTTGCATCAATGCCATATTGGAAACAAAGGTGTTCTAGCAATTAATCAATGGCCTCAATATTATTTTCGCTGATTATAGTGATACGTCCAAGTTAGCATATTCATTCAAGTGATCAATGATGAAGACAAATGGACACAGTAGACATTTATAGGACATCTATAAGAATTCAAATATCATATTAGCACCAGCAATACATGAAGAAGAATTAAAACTTAAGTTAAAAAGAAATGTAATGAAGAAACAACAATATTCCTAACTTGTGATGCATTCTTGAGTTAGTCCTACGAATTCTTGCCACTGCTATGATCATATACTTCAAACTATAAGTCCTAATCCCTAAACATTACAATCACCAATTAATTTATGGGTCACAAAAGCATATTTCTAATATACAAAATGAAATTTAAAAAATATATGAAATATAAAAATGCCAGAACCCTGCACCAAATTAGAGCTGTGTATATTTTTTTTGTTCTTGAAAATGAAAGGATGAAAAGTTCACTGCACCATAACATAAAACATGTGAGAAAAAATGGAAGGTTGTATACCTCACAATGAGGACAAAAGCTAAAGTACAAACAATATCATGCTACATAAATTTTCAAAGAATTTCTGTCATCGGCAACATACTATGAACTTTTGGTTGTGTAAAATCTAGTAACCGCCCAAAAAGAGACACCTGGGGCCATCGATGGTCGTTTTGGGTTTAAGGTTTAATTTTTCAATGCTTTGTTTTTGAATTTATTGTAGTGTCTTTAAATCTACAAATCCACCAATTTTGTTTTTCTATGCCCAACGTAGATGGCTAATTTCAAAAGTTGTAAGCATGCAGGTTCTCTTATGAACATATTCACAAACACATCGTAGGCATATTCAATGGCTACAAACCTATAATCAATATATAAATCACAAGTCAAACACTACAAAGAAAACATGTTTCAAGAAGGGAGACCATGAAACCCAGACCTCAGGTGAACATAATTGAGAAGAAACCTGGGTTTGTTTCTCTTCTCAGTGAAAGCTTCCAATTATTTGTCGACAAGTGGTGCACTGAACAAAGAAGGTGCCATGACAAACTTCCAATAAATTCTATCTGATTTCTATAGGTATGATTTAATAATAACCCATCTTATCAAATGAGAATGATAGAATCATAGAAAACTCAGTTTTGTTCCTTGGATTGATTTATAAGAAAAGTAGATTTCTTTACCAAAGAATGTATGCAGAAACAAAGAATGAAAAGGGTATGAAAACAAAAAAGAGATGAAGCACTTTCTCTCTGTACGTTTCATTTTGGCATATGATCGAGCACATGGTGGGCACACAATTGCTTGAAATAGACAAAATAGGAATAATCACATAATAGACAAGACGAAGAAGACACACCTCAGTTTCGGCAGGTCGTTCCAGTTGATAGAACATACACCAATCCAGTATGTGTGGCCATAAATATATTGAGAGATTATAGATTTATGAATGCACTTATGAATCAATGCTTCTGAATGATTCTTGTTCATTGATTTTGATTTTTGACATCAAATTTTTCTCTGTATACCCTATAGCTACGTGTGAGAAATGGCGAAATAGAGGAAGGGAGAGAGAGAGAGAAAGCGACAGCGAGAGAGGGAGGGGGTATGATAGAATCATGGAAACCTCAGTTTTGCCCCTAGGATTGATTTATAAGACAAGTAGATTTCAGAAACAAAGAATGAAAAGGGGAATGAAAACAAAAAAAAAAAAACAAAAAAGATATGAGATGACGTTTCATTTTGGCATATCAACCATGACAGGGGTTACTAATTTTAGAACTTTAAAAATTTTATTAATGGCATGATATTTAATAAAAAAAATATAATATTAAGATCAAAATATTAAATTATTTATGATGAGATTTACTGTCACATCATTAATAGTAATACTAATTAGTGCTCCCACTCATTTTTCTTGAAATATTATCAAAGCACATGGTGGGCACACAATTAAATAATTGTATTTGACATATTATCGAGCACATGGTGGGCACACAATTAAATAATTGTGAGGAACAAGAACAAGGAGCTTTTTTCAAAATAAGTTAAAATACTAACTTATTTTTCAAACTGAGTCTAGTTTAGGCGGAATTCTCAAAATAAGTTGAAACGTTATTCCAAAACACGTTTTTACCATATTTTTGGCCTAGGCGTAGAAAATGAATAAATTATAAAAGCGTGGTTATAAATCATGTTTTTAATTAAGAAAACGTGGTTAGAAATCACGCTTTTAAAGCCAAATAATAACTCAACATGAAAACGTGTTTTGAAACCACATTTTCAATACATCACGCATTCACACTCTTTTCTCTCTCTCTCTCTTTTCTCTCTCTCTGACGTCACGCATTCACACTCTTTTCAATACCCACAACACTCATACAGTCACATCAAACATATATAAATTTTATTTTATAAAATTGAGAACCATATTAAATATATATAATAATAATTTATAATAGGAAATAATAATCAACTAAACTATTTTCATAATTTTTGTAAATATAAATCATTTTTATATAATTTTTATCTTTCGAGTGGTTAGAAATAATTTTTTATAAATTAAATTAAAACAGTCATACGTATGTATATAACATACCCAAAAGTTAAAATGATAATTATTTTTTACCCTTAAATTATAATTATTTTTTATTTTTTATTTTTTATTTCTTAACCAAATTAATTTTTAATTTTTTTTAAATATTTTAAAAATCAAACCATACATAACCTAAGAATATTTTAATAAGCCATTTCTTACGTTGGTAACTTATTTAATTATTTGTAAATTTTACGACATTTTTACCATTTGAAGCCTGTTTGGTAACCATTTCATTTTCAGTTTTCAATTTTCAATTTATATTTACAAAAATTTTAAAAAAATGTCATAAAAACTTGTTTGATAATTTTTTTGGTTTATAAATGGTTGTCTCAGTTTGTAAATTTGAGGAAAAAACGTAAATTCAAAACTTTCCATTTGTAGTTTTATAATTTAATATTTAGCAGTTTTGATCTTTGCATATTGGATAATCTTCATGACTGGTTTCTTTATTGTGTGCCTACTTCATTTCTCTCATTTTCATTCCTGTAAAATGGAAAGGTAAGAACAAGGATAAAATTTTGTACCCATCGAACTCAAGAACTATAGCTCTATAGTAATGACAGAATATATAGGAGCTCGGCCATTTAAGTTTATAATTGAACTTATATTGCTCATAAATGTAGTAGTACACTCTCATGTTATACGGATTTTTTGGATACATGTAGTGGACACGTGAATGAGCGCCACTACAGCGACAATAAGTCTCGCCAAGTGTAGTAGATTGACACAAAGAGTCAACCGGAGACAAGAGATTTGATTATGGCCTGGTTTGACACAGTACATATTCATCTTGCAATTCCTATCAGCAAAACCACAATCACTGGTTGGTCCATCTGTAGTTTCCAACACCCAAAAATGAAAAAAATATCAACAACTCATTAGAGTAACTAAAAATTACAAAATTCATGATCTTTTAATAATAAAACTAGAAATGTGAGAGAGAGAGAGAGAGAGAGAGAGAGAGAGAGAGGTGTTACATCTGGATTGAGCGAAGAGGACAAGAGACAGAATGAGAATAGAAGCCCATACAAGCTTTGTTGAAGCCATTTTTTCTTCACAATCAGATTACGAAATGATGAAAAAAAATGATTGGGATGTTAGCCTATTTATAGAGCAATGCAAAATCTTAATCCTTGACTATATCTTTGTAACGTAGCCCAGCCCTCTCACATACCTTGATTGACTTTCCATTGGTCGTTTTATAATTTAATGTTTAGCAGTTATGATCTTTGCATATTGGATAATCTTAATTAGGCCAGTCTAGAACTTTTTCGCTTACATTTATATTTTTTTTTTATTTGAGATCTTTATGGGTTTAAATTTGTTTCTTTGCATATATACCCGATTATAAATGTTTGCTAAACCCTAAATCCTAAAGCCAAAAATAAAAATAAATAAATTTTAAGAATTAAACCCTAAACCCTAAAATAAAATAAAAAAAAATTTATCCCTAAACCCTAAAATAAAATAAGAATTAAGAATTAAACCCTAAATCTTAAACCTTAAAATAAAAAAAAAAATTTAAGAATTAAAGTAAAAAATTAATTATTTTATATAGTTGTTTATTATTTGCTATTATAAATTATTATTATATATATTTAATATTGGTCTCAATTTTATAAAATAAAATTTATATATATTAAAAATTATATATGTTTGATGTGAGTGCGTGAGTGTTGTGGGTATTGAAAAGAGTGTGAATGCGTAATGTATTGAAAATGTGATTCACGTTGCGCTATTATTTGGCTTTTAAAAGTATGGTTTCTAACTACGCTTTCTTTACAAAATCAATTTCTTTAAAAGCGTTCTTTCTAATCACGATTTCTTAATTAAAAGTGTGAATTGTAACCACATTTTTATAATTTATTCATTTTCTACGTCTGGGCCAAAAATATGGTGAAAGCATATTTTGGAATAACATTTCAGCTTATTTTGAAAATTCCGTCCAAACTAGGCTTGGTTTGTGAAATAGGTTAGTATTTTCGCTTGCTTTGGGAAAAGCCTCTCGCCTGAGCTTGGAATAGGCAAATTAAGAATAATTGCATAATAGACAAGAAGAAGAAGACACACCTTAGTTTCGATAGGTTGGTCCAGTTGATCCAATATGTATGACCATAAATATATTGAGATATTATAGATTTATGAATGCACTTATGAATCAATACTTCTGAATGATTTTTATTCGCTAAACTGAAATAAATTAGCTTGTTCGTTGATTTTGTTTTTTGACATCAAAATTTTTTCTCTGTAAAACCCTAGAGCTACATGTAAGAAATGGGGAAATAAAGGAAGGGAGAGGGAGAGAGAGAGAAAAAAAAAAAAAGAGATCGAGATCAACAGAAAGGGAGAGAGACTAAGAGCGACAAAAAGAGAGAGAGTGTGACGACCTAGTATGCCATCCGTCTCTTTTCCTTTATTTAACCTCGGATTTGTCATGTTAGTGTGTCGGGTCTTAGGGATGGCAATTTGACCCCGACCCGACGGGGACCCGACCCCAATTAGAACGGGTTTTCCCAAAAAATTATCCCCATAGGGCCGGGGATGGTATTGAAAATTAAATCCCCGATAGTTTCGGGGCCGAGGACGGGGACGGGGACGGGGATAGGTTTCTCGGCCCCGGCCCAGCCCGGCCCTGAGTAATACCCGAGCATCCCCGTATATATATATGTTTAGTTTAGGGTTGAATCTCATTTTCATTTCAGCCTCACTGGTCAGTGGTGACTCATTTCTCTCCCTCACTCGTTCTCTCTCTCTCTCCCCCCTCCCTTCCTTCCCTCCACTCCCCCCCCTCCTCCCTTCCTTCCCTCCACTCCCCCCCCCCTCCCTTCCCTCTACCGTCGATCTTCTTCACCCTCAATTGCCGATCTTCTTCACTCGCCACCACCGATCTCCTCTCTCAACGTCTCTCTCTCTCTCCCCTTCACTCACTGATCTACTTTTTCCTTTATCACCGCCATCTCCAAAGGCGATCCCGCCACCACCATCGTCTCCAAAGGCGATCCCGCTACCATCGTCTGCAACTTCTCCATTGATGCCTCTTTTTCTCCCAGTTCCGAGCACTCTTGGAGTAGGTGAAGACGGAGCAAATCGATCCGAGATCTGAGTTTTGTAGATCTTAGATGAGATCTAAGTTTCACTACTATTTTTATCTTTGTTTGTTGATGTCTCTCTTTATCTCATTATTAGTTGTTGATGTTGAGGATGGTCAGATGAAACAAATTGTAGTTGTAGTTGTTGTTGATGATGTTGATGTCAATCCGACAATCTCGGTTTGTTTGTTTGTTGTTGTTATTTTTTTTATTTTTTTTTTTTGAGCGGGGAATTTCGGGGTCGGGGATACCCGATCCCCATTAGAGGACGGGGGCGGGGATGGTGATAGGTCCCCCGACGGAGATCAGGGCCGGGGACGGGGACATTGTTACCATCGGGGATCGGGGATCGGGGACAGGGAGTATGATCCCCGGCCCCGGCCCACCCTGTTGTCATTCCTATCGGGTCTCGCTTAAAACATTGTTAATCATCTGGGTTTGTTGTGCTCGGAAGTTTTTCCCAAAATTCTTGTTCTTGTCTCTTTGGTGTTAATTCCCACTTGTCCCAGAGGGTGCGAGGTCCGATCCAAGGTGCCTAAAATTGAGCGGGGGAAAATTCTGGGCTGGAAACCAGGGGCCGTACGTGCGGGAGGTGAGGCCGCACGTGCAGAATTCAAGGGAGTTTAGGAGCAACACACTGCAATATATGCAGGTGCGGAGGCTAGTGTGGGAGAGGAGTGCCGCAAGTGCAGGGATCAGTGCCGCACGTGCGGACGGGTTCAGTCCGAGAAATCCTATTTTTTTTCCTCTTTTGGGCTGAATATATATCATATTTTGACATTTCTCTCTCACTCTAAAATTCATTTTTCCTCATTCTTCTCTCTAAAAACCTTCACCAAACACTCAAAAACTTTGATTTCTTACAATCCATGAGGCTTTGATCTATCTTCCTTCATAAATCTTGGAGAGCAACACAAGAACCTCACTTTATACGGTGGAGATTGA